ATCTCTAGTTTATGTTTGAACACATTAATATGCAAGTGAGTCATATTTGAAATATAACCTTCTGAGGCTATGTAGTTAAATCTTAATTTTACATACTAATGAATCATTCCAAGATGATAAATACTTTTTCTTCTATGTATAGTCCTTATCTCAGTTTTCTTTGCATGATCCACTTCCAATCCTGAAAAGAAGCCACAGGTTCTCTTTTCTTCCCACACTATATACACTCTCAAAGGGTAACTTCACATTCATGTTTTTGAATACCACCTATATGGCAATGATATCATCTATTTACAAATCTGTATTTCCAACTATCTACTGGCCATCTCTCCTTGAATGTATCCCACTACACCCCAAAACAAAAGTGATTATTTATGCTTCCCTCCTCTCCCACCAAGCAGTCCCCTTAAAAACAAAAACAAAAGTGTATTTCACAATTTTTTCCATTTGGGTTAATGGTATTAGCACCATGACAGCACTGATCTACCTGGTGAAGCAAGAACCTCTGGGATATCTAATTCTCCTGCTCAGGGCTCTCATCCAATCAGTTTCCCAAATCTTACTTTTGGATTGCAGGATGCTTAGAGAAGTATTAAATTTATTTCTGTTGACCAAAACAATACTGATGACTTCATATGATTCAACCTAACAAAAACATATGAAGAGAACAAATAAAGATTAACCATAATTTCCATCTTTTCTCTATTTGTTTCTGTTAGATGCATAGAAGGAAGCTTATTTAGAATTCTAGATCTCAATAGGCTATGAGAGTTGAGGATTGTGGAGTGAGCCTTTCTTATGTCAACATACATTCATACAAATACACAAATGAAAAAGAGGGTAACAGAAAAGAGGACTGAAGTAAAGAATATGGAGAGAAAAGAAATGAAAATAAGCCAAAAGAGAACAGCAGAGAAAAGAGAAGGGAATGTACAAAAAGAGGAGGGGGGAGTTATTGCCATTCCCTCTGGAGTCATACACAGGTGAAACATAATTCTTACTTTGCCCACACTGAGAAGAGATTAAAAAAAAAAAGATAATGGAAGTTTAGTAAAGTCCAAGGCTTATGATAATTTGTGTGGCTAAAAAGAAATTTTCTTCATTTAAAAAAGATTGCTTGGGTGCCTGGGTGGCTCAGTCAGTTAAGCACCTGCCTTCAGCTCAGGTTATGATTTTAGGGTACTTGGATCAAGTCTCACACCTGGCTCCCTGCTCAGTGAGGAGTCTGCTTCTCCTTCTCCTGCCCCTCCCCACCCCCTGCTCATGCTTTTTCTCTCAAGTAAATAAATAAATAAAATCTTAAAAAAAAAAAAGATTGCTTGTTAGAGTTAGCTATCCATCATAAATTGCAATATGGGCCTAAGTGTTCTGAGAACAGCAGTAGAACAATTACTAATATCTCACCTTGATCCTGTTAGTACAGATCAGGAAACAGCAGAACCCCAGAGCTGCTGCTGTGGCTCTTACCAAAGGATATAGGATTCTCATGTCTGAATATAATGCAGAGGATGGAAGATATTTAGAAAGACAACCCCAAACAAAGGGGTGGGAATATTAAATTTCTGATGAACCGGCATCTTGGAATACATTAGATGGGAAGAGATGACTAATCTCTTATCTGAATAATTGTCCTTAGATAATTAGTTGTTTAGTTAATAACAAAATCTCTAAATGTAAGTATGAATTCCTTTGTGCATTTGCCTTCATAAGATTTCTTTTATCAATTGAAATGCTATTTCTTTTTATTGCCTATTAAAATAAACCTGATAAAATGTTCTTTCTGTATATAAAGTACATCCCAAACATATCCGACTGCAACTAGGTATTGCTTTGATTATGAGTTGGCTAAGTTTAAATATGAAATTTGAAGGACTAGCTTAAATATTTCCATAATGGAAGACAAAGTAGCTCCCTCCACCCCAAACAAGAAACAAAGAAAACAACATACATTTCACACTAATTTAGACACTATTGATTACAAAAGGCACTATAGGGCAGCCCTGGTGGCGCAGCGGTTTAGCGCCGCCTGCAGCCCAGGGCGTGATCCTGGAGACCCTGGATCAAGTCCCATGTCGGGCTCTCTGCATGATGCCTGCTTCTCCCTCTGCCTGTGTCTCTGTCTCTCTCTCTCTGTGTCTCTATGAATAAATAAATAAATAAACCTTAAAAAAATTATTTTAAAACAAAACCAAACAAAAAACAAAAGGCTGGGATCCCTGGGTGGCGCAGCGGTTTGGCGCCTGCCTTTGACCCAGGGCGCGATCCTGGAGACCCGGGATCGAATCCCACATCAGGCTCCCGGTGCATGGAGCCTGCTTCTCCTTCTGCCTGTGTCTCTGCCTCTCTCTCTTTCTCTCTCTGTGACTATCATAAATAAATAAAAAACAAAAACAAAAACAAAAAAACAAAAGGCACTATACTGGGATGCCTGGGTGGCTCAGTGGTTGAGCATCTGCCTTCAGTTCAGGGGGTGGTCCCGGGGTCCTGGGGTGGAGTCCCACATCAGGCTCCCTGCAGGGAGCCTGCTTCACCCTCTGCCTATGTCTCTGCCTCTCTCTGTGTCTCTCATGAATAAATAAGTAAATAAAATCTTTTTTTAAAAGGCATTATAATAAAAGGCTTCTGCATATTATTTTGCATGAAATCAGAAATAGCAGTATCCTTAGAAAAAGATGTATTTCTATCTTTCAGGTATGAATGTTCATCACACATGAAAGATATGATAATGATTTCTACTATTCCATTTTTATTAAAGAGTAACAATATTATGTGAAGTATATGTTGGGTTTAGGATGAATTTTCTTTCGACACAATTTATCAGACTTGAGCCAGAAAAACCTAATTCCCCACACCTAAAACTTAGTGCTGCCCATTTACTATAAGGAGTTAGCTCTGGTGACTGTGGAATGCAGAGTTCAAGCAAATGTCCCAAATGTAGAGAAAGTTTAATGAAAGAAGGCATTCAGGAATGGCCGTTAATAACTTTACAATCTACACTTGTAATTTAACTACAATAATACTGTACCCACATTTATCAGATTGGGCTAGGATAACAGCCTCACAGAGAAGAAAATAACCTTTTTTTAGAAGAAAATCATCTTAATTGGAGTTCAACAGATGCTAGCCTATGGGCAACTTATATCTATTTTTTAAAAATCATAATCATTTAATCCTGTAAGATAGATATTATTATCCCCATTTTATGGCAAAATTGAAGAAGCTCAGAGGGACTAACTTGTCAATGCTCTCACAGTGACTAAGGGGAGGAAAAGGAGGGAGTGTGGTTTGAAACCCAAGCTGAAGCTTCAATATCAGTCACCTGTGTTTACTCTAATACTGTACTATTACTCTAATACTGTGCTATTACTCTTATTAAGTACTGAAGCATTAATGTCAACTATAATTAAGGAATATGCTTATTAACCTTTGAGAGGGAGAATTACATGTTAACCCTACATATAAGCAGAGGAGAAAGAAAGAGCAGGATGATAGGAAAAAAACATAGACTGGCTTAGAAAAAGGTTACTGTACGCAACAGTAGAACTGTACGCTCTATTTTTTTTCTGTTCCACTTTTCTCTTTCTTTTTAAACTTTTTATTATAGAATTTTAAGTAGTAGAGAATAGTAAAAGAAACCCCCATGTACCCAGCAGCCAGCATAAACAATTACATTCCTGGAAAGTTAATATTAAGGTGAGGGTGATCAATTATACATCATATATTATTTGAAGAGCAAATAAGATCTAGTGGACAATATGATGGAACCCCTCCAACTCACCCTCCTCTCCCTCCTCCATGTGGCATCAACATGGTTTCAAGATTTGACCCTAGCTCCAGGAGCAGATCCTGATTAGCCTAAACCAATCACAGTAATTCTATTCTTTTAAACCAGTAATTGGCTCAGAAACCTTATATTCTTGTGCCAATCCATGCATTCTCCTCCTAACTACAATTTGTCCAGATGTGGAACACTAATTCTAAAGTGGACCCAAACCAACTGATGGAAAGAACTTTTATTCCATGTTAACGAGATTCCACATTTTCTACTTAAGTCAGTTTGCAGCAGTTTTTGTTAATGTATCCAGAACCACTCTAATTAAAGAAAATCAAATAAAGTTTTGTATATATCATCAAGTACTCATTTTATGTAAGTGGCTCATGCAAAGAAAGATTTAGGGAACATACTTTAAAAAAGTCAAACTTCATTCATACTGAATAGAAGGATTTGATCTTTTATTCCCTTTAGAACATCTATCCTCTTCCCCCTCCCCACCTTTTATATTTTTTGTTCAAAAATAAAAGGGAAAAAATAAGGTTCACAAAGGAATTCCCCGAAGACTCTGTAAAAATCTATTCTCAATAATAATGGTAGGATCCCTGATGCTAAGGACAGCAACAAAATAAAAAACCACTGAAATGATACAATATATTAAAAACCTAATGTTAAACTCCATCTTGTAAGTTTCTGTGTATTTCATATTGTAGGCTCCATGCCCAGTGATGAGCCTAATGAAATCAAGACCTGAGCTGAAATCAAGAGTCAGCTGCTTAGCTGACTGATCATGACCATGATCAGGTCATGATCTCAGGGTTGTGAGATCAAGCCTGGAGTGAGATCAAGCCTACAGTCGTGCTCTGTGCTCAGTGGTGAGTCTGCTTTCACTCTTCCCTTGCCCCTCCTCCTACTCTCTCAAAGAAATAAATAGTTAAAAAAGAAAAGAATGCAGTGAAGTATTTTCAGCTTATTAAAGAAACTGTCAGTGTGGCCCAAAAGAAAAAGCAATAGGTTTAAGAATCAAACATCCTAATTTCAAGCTCTTTTTCTACCACAAACTAGCGAAGTCATCACTGTACAAATTACTGAAACTCTCTAAGCCTCAGTATCCCCATCTTTAAAGTGGGGATAAAGGGGTGCCTGGCTGGCTCTGTTGGAAAAGCATGCGGCTCTTGATCTCAGGGTCCTGAGCTCATGCCCCACATAGGGTATACAGATTACTTACAATATAGGATGATAGGGGATCCCTGGGTGGCGCAGTGGTTTGGCGCCTGCCTTTGGCCCAGGGCGCGATCCTGGAGACTGGGGATCGAATCCCACGTCGGGCTCCCAGTGCATGGAGCCTGCTTCTCCCTCTGCCTGTGTCTCTGCCTCTCTCTCTCTCTCTCTCTCTCTGTGTGACTATCATAAATTTAAAAAAAAAAAACAATATAGGATGATAAGTACAAGGACAGAGGTAATCATAGGATACAGGACACAGAGAAGTATACAGAGGGCACAATTCTTGGCGTTAAGAAAATAAGCAACAAATATTGTTTCCTTTCTTCTAATTAATTTCTCATTTCACATTCACATTTAAAATTCTTATAACTTTTAAAACAGGTAAGCAGTCTCAGTTACTTTCATATTAGAACTTTTAATTTTAATTTTTTTAAAAAAGATTTTATTTTTTCATGAAAGACACACAGAGAGAGAGGCAGAGACATAGACAGAGGGAGAAGCAGGATCCCTGTGGGGAGGCCGATATGGGACTTGATCCCAGGATCCTGGGATCATGACCTGAGCCAAGGGCAGATGCTCAACCACTGAGCCACCCAGGTGCCCCATATTAAAACTTAAAAAAAAAAAAAAAAAAGAATCAGTACACAAAATTTCATGAACACAGCATCAAACAATTCTCAAATCTGAATAAACTATTAAAATATCAAATTGAATCAGTGCTTTTTAAGATCTTTTCATCTTATAATGAAAAATACACTTCTAAAGAACAAATAAACTTCAACATATTTTAGAAGATGGTAAGATTTCACTGCTCTAAGTTTCAGTGAACTTCTCTAACATTCTTATCTTTTAGTTAGGTACTAATCAGAAAAGCTTAAGATCTAACCTATTTAAAATACCCTTTGAGCTCCCTGGACAAATAGCTGATCCTAGGTCTGGGGCAGGGAAAGTAGAGATGAGCCAAGAGCATCAGATAGTGCCAGAAAGTAAAGTAATGCTAAAAAAAAAAAAAGAAAAGAAAAGAAAAAAAAAAGAAAGACACAAGTACCAAAGAATAAAATAAATAGCCATGAATCCATACTGATAAAAATAAATGTTTATACAATTAAATAAATGAGAGAAGAATTCCAAATAATTTAAGTAGATATACCTCCTCCAGGAGGTGGAGCTTAATTCTCTTCCCCTCCAGTACAGACTGAACTTAATTAATTACCTGCCTCAAAGAATAGAGTATGGAAAGAGTAGAACATAATAATTTCATCAGCCATAAGTTACGTTGATGTCACTTGCCCCATGGTGTGACATGATGAGGAAAATATTTCACCTCTCTGCTACTCTTTCCCTAAATTCATCAGCCTCGTGTAAGAGAAAATATCAGATAAACCCACATTCAGGAACATCCTTAAATATCTGGTTAGTACTCTTCAAATGTTCCAAGGTCATGAAAAATAAAGTCTGAGAGACTATACCAGGTTGGAGGAGATGAAAGAGGTTTGATGACTAAATGCAACATGGTATCCTAGACTGGACTGACCAGAAAAAGGATATTACTGGAAAGCTGGTGAAATCCAATAAACTTTATAGTTAACAATATTGTACCAGTGTTAATTTCTTAGTTTTGGTAAATGTAATATTGTTACATTAACATTAGAGAAACTGAGTAAAGGGTACAAAAACCGTAGTATCTTTTCAACTTTTCTATAAACTAGTATTATTCAAAACGGCACTTTTAAAAAATACCCTTGATAAATATTGTGGGTGTTTGGCGGTTCTAGATAGGAAAGGATTTCAGGTACATACACACGAGGAATGTTCCTATGCTGAAAGGCTCCTATGTCAATTTCAATTCTAGATCTGCGATGACAGGCTAATCATGAATGCCACCACCAACCTCTGCCCCAATCACCTATTATCATTATAAAAACATAAAAAAAATAGTATCTATGAATACACCCAAATTTGGAAAGAAGCCAACTGAGGAAGAAGGTAGGCAACCTCAGAGAAACTCAGAAATAAACACTTTACTTACTAATGCAGGAGCTCAGCAAAGAGGGCTTCTAGGGCTTATTACATTTCTAAGGTCTCCAGGCTAATCTGGGGGATGAGAAGCAGCTGAAAGGAGTGTAATAGACCTAGGATTTGGTACAGAACATTTCATGGGGCCTCAGAAGAGAAAACAGAGACCAGGTCCCCCATCAAGATTTGCCTCAGTTTCGGAGTGGTTTTTGCAAGTAGAAGTGAATCATGTCATGCTTGGGGCAGGTGATCAAGAGGTGGTGTGTCTTCCCGTTCTCTTCACCCATCTGCTGGCTGGATGCAGCGCATTTCAAAGCCCTATAGGATGGTTGAGCCATAAAATGAAAGAAGTCTTGAGTCCCCCAGTCATCACATGAAAGGCTATTTGGTCACCAGAAAAACCTACATCCTACTTTACTAAGGAGTTGTGTAGACACCTGCAACATGTAGTTTAAAAAAGTGCAAAACAAAATGACCTGAACCTCTTAGTATCTATCATTCACCTTTAATTCTTTAATTCAAAGAGAATTAATACGTTACATGAAAAAAGAAAGAAAGAAAGAAAGAAAGAAAGAAAGAAAGAAAGAAAGAAAGAAAGAAGAAAAGAAAAGAAAAGAAAAGAAAAGAAAAGAAAAGAAAAGAAAGAAACAAACACCGGAATTTCAGCAATTACTTTCATTTTATTTATTTTTTGTTTGTTAAATCCAAGTTAAACTAAATATAATATTTAGAGAAAATGTATATCATCCTGCTTTCATAAAATTATTCCTATTCACGTTTTTGCTCACTCTATCTGTATATATGCACAGAAAAGTCTCTAGAATAATGTTCATTAGATGTATTTCAAATATCTAGAGTAAGTGTGTGTGTGTTGCCTTCCTGGTATTTTTCTATGTTGCTAAAATTTTTACCAATGATGATATAACCTTATAATAACCCCATAAGTACTGCTATGTTCACTAAACTGATGAGAAAAGCACAGCTAGGGGATCCCTGGGTGGCTCAGCGGTTTAGCGCCTGCTTTTGGCCCAGGGCATGATCCTGGAGACCCGGGATGGAGTCTCATGTCGGGCTCCCTGCATGGAGCCTGCTTCTCCCTCTGCCTGTGTCTCTGCCTCTCTCTCTCCTTGTGTCTCTCATAAATAAAATCTTAAAAAATAAAAATAAAAAATAGGGATAGCCTATGTTACCTGTATCATAAGCATATATCATACTTATTTTTTAAAAGGGTGTAGGCTGGGACACCTGGTGGCTCATCGATAGAGCATCTGCCTTTGGCTCAGGGCGTGATCCTGGGGTCCCAGGATGGAGTCCCATATCAGGCTCCCTGCAGAGCCTGCTTCTCCCTCTGCCTCTCTGCCTCTCTCTCTCATGAATAAATAAATAAATTATTTTAAAAAATAAAAAATAAATAAAAGGGGGGTAGGCTATATCAGGAGAGCACCTGGAAGGAGTAGCTACTAATGTCTAATGACATGTGCCAGTGGCGAACATGAAAAATCTCATGGTAGCCACAAAATCTCTATGCTGGGTATTTAAAGAGGCTTATTATTTATCAACCATATCTAATGTCAGCCTATCTGAAGCAAAATTGCACAAGCAAATCTTAGGAATCTGGTTATTAATGTTCATTTCAGAAAACCTGGAAGATTGAAATAGTCATAGTCACTCCATTATCAGTATGTCTCAGAAGAGACAATACCTTGGGATAAAATGCATGCACTGGCTTAACTTCAGCAGAACGTCTCTCAGAAAGCATTTATATCAGAAATTTAGAGAAATTTGTGTGTATATTTTTAAACTAACACAGAATTGGCTTTGAAACAATTTGCCAAAGAGCCATTTGTTTTAAACTGGGAAGAGTGCTGAATATTTAGTGGAAAGTATGCTAAACTGACATCTGCTACAACTTCATGTCATTTTAAATATCATATTCATTAATGACTAAGACTTAATGTCTTTGTAAATTAATCCTGCTTAGTGAGTCTGAATATGCTATTCTTATTCCTATGAATGTTCAAGATATTGGTTGCAGCAACATATGGCATCTCATACACTAAAATTCTTTGGGAAAGCACAGTTTTTAAAGTGCAGGAATCTGTTACCAAGGAAAAGGGGGAGGGGGGGAGGGAATGACACACATACTTTCTCAAGCTGTAGAAGATATAACATTGAAGTATCTTTTTAAAAACAAAGGCATTTTCCTCAATAACATCCTGAGATATCAAATTTCTCAAGTAAATCTTCCACCCAAAGTCATCCTTTGAAGGAAATCAATGAATGCTCTCCTTCTTTCAACAAGAACAATCAACTGTTTTTGCCTTTCCAGAACAACCAGCTGGTTAACCAAATACAGAGAAAAATCAAACTTCCCCAGTCACCAGATGTCTTAATTTGGAACAGTTAGTAGCAATGTGGAATAATCCAAAATTTTGAGTTGGTACTATATGTTTACTATTTCTTTTTTTTTTTTTTTTTTTTTTTTTAAATTTTTTTTTTTTTTTATTTATTTACGATAGTCATACAGAGAGAGAGAGAGGCAGAGACACAAGCAGAGGGAGAAGCAGGCTCCATACACCGAGAGCCCGATGTGGGATTCGATCCCGGGTCTCCAGGATCGCGCCCTGGGCCAAAGGCAGGCGCCAAACCGCTGCGCCACCCAGGGATCCCACTATTTCTTTTTCTAATTCTGAATAGACGCTTTTAAAAATTAAGCAAATGTGTTCCCCTTAATAGCTGCAAAAAAAAAAAAAAAAGGTAGGGGGATAAAAAGAACCATTGTCTATAGCCTATAACAAATTGATGTTAACATCAAAGAATCAGCCACTTGAATATTCTGTGTTATAGTTAGAAATTGATACATCATTAACTCAAAAGTCCTAAAGAATTACCCTATTCAATAATTCAAAAACAATTCCTGAAGGACTGACACGTCAGGCCTAGAAAAGCACACTGGATACAGTAAAGAACGTAAGTAAAGTCCCTGCCTTCATAGAAGGCAGTGGGGTGACAGACAGCCATACAGACAAATAACTAAATGTAATAATGAAAACAGTTGAAGTGTTATGAAAAATAATATTGCTTAAGGAAAGAAAAATGAGGCAGGAAAGGCCTTTTGGATATAGCCATTAAAGGAAAGCCTCTCCCATGAGGTGACATTTCAG